AGGGGATTACGGGACCAGGAGGCATGGACGTGGGGAATCGTTCCGGTTAAGTGCAAGCGTTAGTAAATAGTTGAGTAAATAGTAATTGCATATAATACTCAATTGGTGTGTGGTCTGCGCGGTGACTGGAATGCATGACATTTGTAGACCCTCGCCCTAAACCGCTAGCGTAAGTCTCGTAGTATGCAAAGAGTTCCTAGGCATATGGTAACACCAGTTTTCGGCCATCACGTTTTAAATGAGGAAGACATGCAATAAAATGAAGGAAAGAAACTCACACCAAAGCGATTTTCTATTTTTGGGTCCCGGGCGGATATGTGTTGCCTTTTTGATAATGACCTGATTAAATACTTACGAGTATGCATTGATAATTGCGTGAGGGTCTGGGGGTTATTTCAGGCACTATTGTGGATATGCTTGTGCCTTTTCATGTTAAGCCAACCCTAAACATCTGCCCTGGTTGAACCAGGTGCTTGGTGAAAAATAATAATGGTAGCACGCAAATATACACTATAGCACCATTAGACAAGACGGTTATTTGCGGCATAAGAGTTTGATGTACTTTTTGATTGATCTATAGGGTCATTTTATATTCTTCCATATTAATTCATTTAAAACTGGGTGTTACACTTTATTACAGACACCCGTTCCTGCATTTTCCAACGTTTACTCGATCCATTGTTATCGTTTATGAAATAAATAGGCATGGTTTTGGCGGCCAGCTGCTAAAATATGTTTAGCGGCCATTGCGTAATATCAGCTACTTAAATAAAACTTAACCCGCGCCCCGTAGGGGGGGGGGGCCGAAACGCCCCCCCCCCCTGTCCTTTTCCGTCGATATCTCCTAAACGGCTGGAGATATCGCCACCAAACTTTCAGGACCCCTCCGGGCATCAATTTTACACATTGTGACCAAAAACTTTTTTTTCCAGAGGCTATGATAGGTTGGCCACAAATGACGTCAGAATGACGTCATGTTCTGCCATTTTCGACACAAAAAAGACCTTCGCGAGAAGAGCTGTCAGGCCTACAGCTTTGAAGATACAGAAAAATGGTCAAGACATAAAAGGTGTAGAATTAACAGGGCTGCAAAACTGCTATCTCGGATTTTTAAAATTTTTGAGTTTTGACCCCCAAAATAAAAAATGCAATTGTTTGGATATATTAGCCAAAAAATCCAAAAAGTTTTTTGAGTTTCGAAAAAAACCGGAATATATATGATAGTACCTACCGTCTCCTATCTACATACCAAATTTCAGATCGATATCTTCTTTTTTGGCCAAGTTATAGCGAAAAAACTTCAAAAATGATGACGTCAAACTTTCAAACTCAATTTTGTTGGCAATTTTAGACCACGTAGGGTAAAACAAAGACCACCATTGGACTCCCCGTGACGAACTGCATCGAATGGATACCCTTTTTATGCAAAAATATCAACTTTGAAATTTGACCTAAGTTGACCTGACCTTGACCTGACCTTGACCTGACCTTCACCGGAACATAATCTAAACTGACTCCAAAGGCTGCCTGACCCACATAATCGCATTTGTCATGTAAAATGGACCATAAAACATGTATCACACGACACTTTCATATTGTGACCCCCAGTGACCTGACCTCTGTGACCTGACCTGGTATCAGTGACCTCAGATAGCGAGGTATGTGTTTGACGAACAATGTACCATCGATGGCTTTCAATAACTTACCAATTTAGGTACTCGATTTCACAACACATTTCTTGAAATGCCTGTGAACGGTGAAAATCTGACCTTTGACCTGACCTTTGTCGTCATCGGTTTGACCTAGGTCAATGAAATTTGGTCACAAGGTAGTTCCCTGGTGGGGCTATCGAACGCCGTTTGAATTTTGAAAATCGGCCGGTAAATTTCCGAGATCTCAGGGGGGGGGGCGAAACGCCCCCCCCCCCACCGGTGGTAGGGTCCTCCGGTAGCCCTACGGGGCGCGGGTTAAATAAATCACAAATTTGATAAGCGGATGAGAGTACGAAGAGAGTACGAAGGAAGCACCAGAGATTGAAAGAGGACTTGTATTTTTAAGCGTAGGATAGGCATGCTGACTGGGCAGGCCTATAGACATACAGTAGTCAGTAACACGCAAAACTGAGTAGAAACCAGCATCTGTTGGCAATCTAAAAACATGTGCCTGGGTGCAGCAAAAGAGCCCTCGTAAGATGCCTCGTCGCGAGCAGTCCCAGCAGCATATGTCGCCATCACCGCTCCAAGTGCTCCACGGTCGATTGAATTGAACACCTGCGTTCCTAGTGCAACCGCTAAAACATACGCACCTGTGCACAAAACCGCCAATCAATCGGCAATAAGAAGCGGCGCAACGCTGACTGGCAAGACGCGGTGTTTTCTGTCTGCTTTAATCGCCATCAGGCGGAGGCTTTAGTGTCTGTGCCACCTGCTGCCATCCGCCGCACGCATCTGAGTGGCGGATCCCCGAGAGGTAATCCAATGGGGGGCGGGGACGGCGTCCAACAATTCTGCGTATGGTTCCCTGACATTCGATTGTTTAAAATACAGCTTTTGGTATACTGCATGCATGATGACACCGCTGTAAAACATGACGATATCTTCCTTTAAGATGCTTTTGTCAGGCTTGTGCGTGATAGTCTACCGTTCAACTGTCAGCAGTCTGTGCTGTGCGGGCTAGTCTACCTATCAGGCGCCTGTGTATGTAGTACGGGATAGTCTACCGATCAGGCGCCTGTACATATAGTGCGGGTTAGTCTTTATAGGTAGACTAACCCGCACTACACTGGCGCTTGATCGGTAGACTATCCCGCACTCCACAGGCGCCTCGTGCTGGGCGGGACAGTCTACCGTTCAGGCGCCTGTGTAGTACGGGATAGTCTACCGATCAGGCGCCTGTATAGTGCGGGTTAGTCTAACATCAGGCGTCTCGTGCTGTGCGGGACAGTCTACCGTTCAGGCGCCTGTGTAGTGCGGGATAGTCTACCGATCAAGCGCCAGTGTAGTGCGGGTTAGTCTACCTATCAGGCGTCTCGTGCTCTGCGGGCTAGTCTACCGATCAGGCGCCTCGTGTAGCGCCGGCTAGTCTACCGATCAGGCGCTCGTGTAGTGCGGGGCTAGTATTCATGTTCCAAAACGAAAATGGAGCTATCTGGCGTGCGATTTAACCTCGCTACCGATTTAGACGATAATGAAGCTGCATAAAACATCACTGACTAGCATTAGCCATGCTCCCGTCGGTGTGCTCCTGCCAAGAATGACGTCATGACTGTGAAAAACGATAGCCTTTCTCAGGAATGACGTCATCCATGTCGTCAGTGGCACACCCCGATTAATTCATCCGCGCAGTCTGAGAAGACTCGCCAGCGTGGGTGGAAATGACGTCACCGCAGCCCACGACGGCATCTAATTGTCGCTCATTTACGCATGTCACACTGTGGCACCAGGGTGTCGTTAGTACGTCATTAACGTGTTGTTACTGCGTCACTGATGTGTCGTCACTCGTCAGCGTCACTGTCACCCGTCACGTCACTGGTGTCATTCGCAGGTGTTGGTAGAACGTGTGACAAAGTCCTCTATGTCGTACTATCTTTCTCCACATATGATATCACTCAACTACTCCCCCACGTTTGTGCCTACAGTGCACCGTGTAACGCTAGTTGACGGCAACGAGCCGAGGGGGAGCCAATCGACGGAGTGTGGTGCACCTGTGGCGACACCCACTGGGGGGAGCCACCACCTCGCCGGAACTGTACCTACATACTCCACGCGGTATATGACGCAGCAGTGGTGCAGTGTGATCTCTATGCCCCGCCCCAACGAAATACGGAGGGGGGGGGGCTACCGCCTCGCCAGAGCTCTACTTCACGCGGTGTGGCGCAACAGTGACGTAACGTGCTCACTTTTCTCAAATCTCAAACCCACGATATACGAGTACACGAGCGACGCTGGACTAGGAAGACACGTTAGAGTGAGGTGACACTGTCTAACAGGTCCTACCCCCACCCCACCCAGCTGGAGACGTCCGACAGACGCCCGCTGAACTCTGCGACCCCGCCCGGGCTAGAATCGAGCCAACAAGGGCCAACGACAGCGCCGACGGGCGATTCGTCTCGGCGGCGAAAACAAACCGTTCGCGGGCTCCTCAGATCGCTCGAGTGAGTGAGCTCCCCCACCGGCGCGGGCACAGGTCGTCTAACACCGGCCAGCGAGCAGCTCCGCTTCCGGAGCCGGGTTCCGAAAGCCACTTTTCCGAATGGGCCGGCTATCGATTCATTTAAATCCGCCCGGTAACCGTTCGGCCCGCGGGCGGCGGCGCTCGGCCGCTCGGCGCCGTGGATTTACGACCCCCGGGGAACGGTCAATCGCCGGCTCGGCTGGAGACCGGGGCCGACGCCGCCCCTCTGCGCGGTCAGTTCGGTCACCCCGGACCGACGTCTACTGGAGGTGACCTGGTCAGTAGGCGATCCCCGCGGGAGGGAGGCTCAGCGGCCGAGCATCGAGCGGTGCCAGAGATTCCGGGCAATTTTGTTCAGTCGGATTGTTTGGCTAACGTCAATCGAGCCTGTCATGATCACTTTGGAACAATGCCACTGAAGATAGAGGAATGTGCCCCGGAGGATCGGGTCCGCTCTCATCGTGTCTCGTGAGGGAGCCAACAATAACAAGCAGAAATGCCACAGGGTCAGGGTTAGATAGTCCCTAGCCGAAAAAAACGGTGGCCCAAAACCGAAAAAGATGGCATCAGCAACCAAAGACCGGAGGTCTATCCATTCACATACACCAGAACGACAGCCAGTATATCATCCCCAACTGCCGTTTCAACCAATCCCACTCGGCCGAAACCGATTCACCAATAATCTTGAAACGTGACTCGTAAGCATATCGCCGACCCGAAGCACGAAACAGCGCCAATAACTTTCCCGTGAGTGCGTCATTTCTCCTGCTTTCAAGTCGCTCCAGCCGGCGCCGCGCCGACCGGCCGACCTCTGCAGAAACTCCCTATGACACACCGTCTGAGTGTATTACGACTCGACTGGGACAAACAATCCGTAACACTGTCACAGCTCACGCCAGGCGGCCCGCCCGGCCGCGGTCCCGGCGGCGCGTCAGGTACCGGTACACGGGTACTCGGGGTACCGCGCGCCTCACTGGGACCGCGTACCGGGCGGCCCCCGCGCAGCCGAAGGTACATTGTTAAACTGAGACAACAGGTGAGCGAAGCGCACGAGGCCGGTACTCCGGTGGGCTCGCGCGGTCGCCGATAAATAAAATACTCCTCGCTCAACAGCTAAGGCGTCACACACGGGCCCTAAAATCGGGCGTGATACTCGCACACCACACGCGCTACTCTCGCCGACACACCAGCACTGGCGGCAACACGGGGCAAGCGATTATGACTAGCCGACGCGCGGTCAGTTCCAAAGAGGGCGGCCGCCACACCGGGTTCGCACGTCTGACTAGCCGGCGGCCTGCACCAAGATGGCCGCCCACGGCGCCTGTTCCAAGATGGCCGCCGCCGGTGGTTGAGCGATCTCGACATTAGTGGATGACATGAATGATGAAAGACGCGACACATGCAGATGCTACGATGAAGGCGGACGTCGCCCGCCAGGGTGCTAGGTGAGCATAGTGGCTCCTTGAAGGGTCGAAATCCACCTGCGGACACGGATAAACGTCAGAGGTGCTGGAGTCGGCTGCCAAACGTGTAAGCATCACCTGTTCGACATTTCAACTGCCAACGACACGACTCTGGCAGAAAAGGGATGTTCTTTGAGAGAGAGGAAGCGCAGTCTGAGGATTTCGTAAACTGAAGAAAATCTGACGAAAAGGTGCAAAATCCACTGAACAGACTAGAAAAGTTCACGACCTAAAAGCTGTCAGTGTGATTAAATGTCAGGCTTGAACGCTTCAAACAAACAGGTGGGATGAAATATTGCATTTTTAGCGTACAATGTGAGGAATGCATGAGCCGGCAAAAGATACCACAACAGATAAAAACGATTCTTCTCCTTTTAGAACAGTCCCACCGTTCGTCCCATCACCAAGTTGAACCACCCTGAGAGGGACCAACTGGGCCGGGGGATGTGCCCAGCTGCGGCGGCGCGTCACCTACTTGGCCGCCTGGGCGCGGTTATCGGCGTGGAACAGCAGCGGCTGCTGGTTGTCGTGCGCCAGCTGGAACACCAGCTCGGAGTCCACGCCCTCATATGACGACCGCACCTTCGGCAGGGGGCAGAGAGATGGGGGACGTTATATGACCGCACCTTCGGCAGGGGGCAGAGAGACGGTGGACGTTATATGACTGTGCCTTCAGCTGAGGCAGAGAGACGTGGGAACATTACATGATTGTGCCTTCAGCTGAGGCAGAGAGACGTGGGAACGATATATTGGGGAGTAGGCAGAGACAGACGGGGGACGTTTTATGATAGAATATTCACGGTTTTCGGGAGAATGGGGACGGATAATCTGAAAGTAAGCGTCATAGCGAACTCAACTCGGTCTGCAAGGAGCACTGTATATATGTTGGTTGGTGAACTCGCATAATCCGCGCTGATGGAAGAGAAGAGACGGAACGCGAACGATACAACCCTTCATCGTAAGGGACATCAGCTCACATGGGGGGGGGGGGGGGGGGGCTAGGATCCGGCTATATATTTGCTGAACGAGATATGAGAAAACCTCTCCATGACAAATGTTTCCGAAATTTCCGCTGCAGCTTTTGTGATAGGGAGAGGAGACTTGTAGAATGTCCGTAGCACAGCGACTGGTGTATTTAGGGAGAAGATTAGTGTCAGCTCTACAAGAACAGACGTTCTGTTAGCGATCTAAGTGCGCAACAGGATTCCCTTCTAACAGGCGTGCTCCTGCACTGGATTAGTTACTATTCATATTTAGAAAGGGTTTCATACCATCCATCAATTTATTCATTGACAGGAAGATTGGAGGGCAAAGGTTTTATCTTTTCCTGCGCGAATGAAGAATTAAGTATGGCAATAATCGCCACTAGAATGCTGATCAGAGGTTCATGAACAGTTCCGCATCGTTAGATCCACAAAGGAAATAGCTAAGTCAAACGCCGAAACGATGTCGAAATGAAACATTGTATCACGCAACATGAGACTTTGCAGTTAACCATGTAGATCATAATTCTTCACAGCAACACACAAGGAAAATCGGTCAATGTGGCAGAGCTGTAGGCGTAACCGACCACATTAAATAAAAGATCGGCTGATATGTGCAGTGTGCACTTCACAGTTATGACATGAAGAATTACTAGCTTATTCGTGGGTTAGTAACAATGACCAAAATACAGAGATAGAAGTGTCGCTATATTTAGCTTATCTTTTTATAAGTGCTCAGTGCTCACAAAATGATCTCTACAGCAAACGTCAAATGACCTAACTTGTGTAACAAGAGTGCAATACTCTATATCTGGCACAATGCCTTAAACATTCAATTGGCCCTTATCTCAGAGCCTGTATAACGACCTAGGCCAGCCGCCAGTCTCGGACTAAAGCATGCAATCAGCTGCTGCGCACTGCCGTGCCGGCGCACTGGTCGTTAGCCAAAGATAAAAAGTGCCTCTGTGGGCGGCGGTGCTGGCATTCAGTACCGCACGTGGGCGCTGCAGCAGCGACTCGAACCCACGACCAGTCGCCGTGTGAAGGTCAAGGTCCGTCAGAAAGAACGTCGCTAAACGGAGGGGGAGGTGATGGGAGGGTCCGGGGCCATACGGCACTGACCGACGCTCACTTCGCTTGCATGAACACACCTTAGGTCGAGAAGTCATCGTGTTTTTTTTTTTAAGTTGACCTCGCTAGCTTTAGCATTGTAGATGTCGTTGATTTAATTGGATTGGGTACGTTCGGCAAGTTGCGCTATTCAAACCTTTGAGGGCAGTTTTTGACAAAAGACGTCCATAAGCACATCGAAAGTATACTGCTTTAAATTGCCATTTTCCATTAACGCCTTTGGGAGTGGTTGAAAGAATGTGGTGGCCTCTGTAATGTCCGACACTTTTTGATTGGCGACACTCCGTCACCCGGGCAGCCAGTGTCTGGGAGCCTACCGCGGTACGATTTTTAGCGCGATATGTCGGAAACACTGCTTAACTATGCATCCAGCGTTTCAGTGGCCTTTTGCTGCAAGAACGCATTGCCGAAATGGACTTCCAGACAATAACTTTGACATCAGCCGTAGCGCTGTTCAGCATAACTGAGCTATGCGCCCCGACGTCCGATTCGATACGCACCAAGTTACGAGCCATGCTCATCAATCAATAAGTGGGCCGACCCAACTGTGACCCGGAGAGAGTTATGGGCTGGAGGCACGCCTGCCGACAATGAACTCGCCATTTGCATAAACGTGACAGGAGAACGAGCACGCGACAGGGCCGTGCCCCATTGTGAGGCTCATTGCGCAGTCTCATCCAATTAGACACCAAATTATCGCGTATCGGTTCGTAAGAAGTTGAATATTATTCTCGTCAGCTTCGTAAATGTCGAATATAAGGATCTAAGCAATGTCAGAACAAAGCTCCTGGAATCTGGTGAAAAGGTATCAAACGGATGCACCTTAGCCTCATGATTCCCGAAGTCTGAGCCAGAATGGCCAGATTCAAAGTAACTCAAACTGGAAGGCAAGTCTTACACGAACAATGGGCATACACCTAAGCTCACCAGCACCAAACCACCGCCACCCCACTCCAACAGTACCCGATATGCCCTGTTCTACCCTCCCGCTGACTGTCAACGCTCGCACGCTCCCTGCTCTTACATTGGCCAGGGGCTGCACTTTGTAGCCGAGTACCGGCAGGCTGTCCATGGCCACCACGTCCTGCGAGGCCCGGTACATGTAGAGAACACTATCACGCAGCACGAACCAGAAGCGTTTCCACTTTTGGCGCGTGCGCCGCTGTAGGTAGCCGCTCATCTGGCATCCGGAGACGTTGGCGCTCACCTAGGGAGAGCGGCGGCGCCGTGCGGACGGGCGGGTGGGTTAGTCGGCGGCACACGGCACACGGCATGCCGTCAGTGGGGTACGGGGGAGGGAGGGAGGGAGGTGTGTCCGCACAGCTGATTGAGGGTGCGCGAAAATAGCCGAAAATATCCCTTTGGGTTATTATATTTATATGAGTTCACAAAAGAGCTTAATGAAGCATCTTAGTATGAAAGATTCAGTCTTCCATTCGACTTCGATTATGAGTTCAGTAGGTAATGAACGTATTTCTTATTCAGCTGTGCGAACACCCTTATATCGGACGAGTTAGAAGGCAAAACACGCCCGGTAGTGAGGCGCGTGGGGACATACACATGAAGCAAAAGTGACAAACACTATCACGGGGAAAATTCACACAAAATAAGCTATAACGCAAAATTAAGTTAATTTGTCGACCCCTTAGCGCTAAATTTAAGTAAAAAATACAGGTTCTGGTGCCCCGTGATAAAAGTAATACCAGGTAAGGCCGGTATAAAAAGTGAGCTTTACGCCTTTTAATTTTAAGCGACCAACTTTATATTGCCCAAATCTCGACAATCGGGATAACTCAGAAATTACCAGCAGCGAACGTTGGCAATAAACGCTACTCAACGACAATTAGTTAAGGGTTTCCGCTCGGTGGTAGTTTACAGAGAGCGTTTTGTCATGTGCTACAACCACGAATTACCCACTGTCAGATACTAAGAGCCGCACTATAGCTAGAGATAAACCAAACCAGATAAACTAAAAATACCCACAAACGGAGAGCACTACCGAGCTAAGGGCCGCAGTACGCTGACCCTGCAAATACCATATCCCGGGATAGCTCTCGGCAAACAGACTGACGCGGGAGCCGTGGCCGGCTGACGGCGGCTCTGTTCTAGTCAGCGACCTCTGGCAGCGCGCGGCCAGACACGAACATACCTCCAGCCGCTTGGGCACCTTGCGCTGCGACTTTCTGCCCACTGACCCGAGGCTCGACTTCTTAGACTGGGACGCGTTCTGCGGATCTACGTCTGAGTCGTCGACATCTACAACAAAAAACAAGGCATTGCGTAAAAATTAACACACACGCACAAAACGCAAACACGCACGCACACGCAGTAGCGAGGCCGCGGCTGAGGTATACGCAGGACAGACAGACACACAAAGACGCGCTCAGAGAGCCAGAGCGTCAGTTTGGACAGGCAGTGTATGAGACAAGGCGCCAGTGTACAGCCGCAAACACACCGGCACCTTAGAGCGGCAACACGGGCATGGCCGAACAGACAGGCGTTAGAACGCAGCTCAGCTCAGGCACGAGTGGCTTAGTTATGCAGTCATACACGATGTGCTTAGATTTGCTACAATGGTGAATTTATTAGGTAAGGATAAAACGAAACATAAAAATGTGAATTTTATTTATTACTAGCGATGCAAAAGGTCAATGCAACAGCCAATTATATGGGAAGACGGTAAACATTCATGTAACTAGTTAAGCATGATACGCCGAGGACATCAACTGGATCAGACTACGTGGTGGCAGAACCGATTTCGGAGAATCGACTTCGATCACCCAGAAATCCCAACATCGCTCGTCAAACTCAAGCCTAGTCCGTCCGTCAAGCCTATTTCTGTCAGTAAGGCATCCTAAATCCCTCCCAACATCTAGCCCGCCTCTCCGAGGTCCCATGTCGCTCTTCTCCACAAGGCTCAAAGTCTACGGTCGCAACAGACTGCTCCTTCAACCCAGCCGAGACCGGAGACTGGTGGGTCGGACCGCCTGACTGTCCAGTCCCTGTCTAGCCCCGATCGCCGAGCCCGTCTCGCCGGGAGGGGGACGGCCACACGGCGGTGGAGACATGTCGCCGGCCGTCTGACATTGGCCCGGAGCGGCTGTCCGCCGTCACCGGCCGCTGTCGGCACTGGGCAGCTGCAGACAGCTCCAGTAACGACCCCGTCCGGCCCGCACCCCGGGAGGGCACTCCGAGCTCGGCGGCGCCCCGGCTCGAGGTCATCTCGACCGGCCGCCGGGGACGAGGACGGGGGCGGTCCGGAGACGGGTCGGGGAGTGGGTCCGAGCGGGGAGATGTATGTAGATATGTTCGACAGGCCCAGGGGAACGCGGAACATGGAGCAGGTCCAGACAGTCTGGCTGGACATTTTTGTGGGACTGGAGTTTCGTGGCCCAGCCAGATCAGGGCTGGACAGTGGACAGTACCAGTTGCACCAAAAAAGGGTGGATCGACATCCCATCGTCAGCAGACGCCCCTCCTCGCAGTCCACCTGCAGACGGCTGGGTACATACGTTCAGGGGCCGGGTACCGTCTGACAGTAACGGTCCGGGCCACGTCCCATCAGCGACAGACGCCACTCTCTGAGAGCTGAGAGACCCATAAACACAGTGGCGCGCCACTGGCGCCCGGCCAGGCCTATTTGGCGCGCCCTCGGGGCACCCTCCCCCGGCTCTGCCCTCAGACCCACCCACCCACCCACCACCTACGGGAGAGGGGCCGCGCTGTGAGAGGGGGTGTCGCGCTGAGAGGGGGCGCCGCGCTGTGGGAGGGGGTGCCGCGCTGAGAGGGGGTGCCGCGCGGCAGAATGTCCCCGGTGCGCCAGAAGTGTACAGAACGTGGCGCAACTAAACGCGACAGCTGGCGGAGCCGGTGAGCGATGATGAAAATGACACGAATGTTTTTTTTTTGTCTCGGTGACCTCGAGACACATGCGAGGAGTTTTCCACGGCCAAGCTCCCTTCCCCAGCGACACGTCAGAGGTCAAGTACAGTGCCCTGTCGTGTGCCGTCCTAAAATAACCAATCGGCGATGTTGTACCCGACAAACGTCGAATGTACCACAGCGGTGCCGCTGTCACTGTCAGTCGGACACTGGCGGTAGCTGTCTGCGGAAACACGCCGACCGGACTGGCCGATCAGCCCGCCCCCGCCCACGCCCTCGGCCGCCCCCGCCCGCGCCCTCGGCCGCCAAATAAAGCTGTCTGCCATTATCCATGTACTAACAATGTTGCGTGCGGCCGTACACAACACGCGGTAATTATTATCGACACCGCGGGACGTATATCGGGCGGGCGGTAGTGCGCTTTGATAGATTACCAGCTGGTCTTTATCAGGTATCTCTGTTTACAAGGTGGCCGTTAGCCATACAATACGATGCCACGATATTGTAAACCTATCAGTGGGTACTGAGGAAAGAGCTTGGATAGGAGAGAGACGACAGATGATTGGTCACTCAATCAATCGTTGACCACAACGTGAGAAGATACAGGTCATGTGACAATAAGTCGACCAATAAGTGCGTGTGCGTGTGTGTATGCTTGTGTGACTGTGTACGTGCGTGTGTGCGTATGTCTGTGAGCATCTGCGTTGAACAGGCTCCGGCCACACAGCTGACCATCATTCAGTGCCGGTCGATACCAAACGCCCCTCCCTCTCTCCGGTCCCCCCTCCCGACTCCGCGCCTGACCTCGACTCCCGCCTCCTTCCTCTTTCTCCCTCGGTCTGTCAATCGCAGCCGACTATGCATCTGACCTTGTCCCTATTCTTGCCATCATTTCTCCCTTTCCTTCTTCATCACTTCTTTACTTCAAGCTCTTACTCTCTCCATCCATCCTTCCGCCTTCTCTCTGCCTCTACATCCCTTTCTCTTCCACCCCTCCTCACTCACGACAGACCGTCAGTTCTCCCTATATTCCGGGACAAAAACTCCACAGCTCCTGACAGCCGGCTCCTTCACCCTCTCTGTCGATAGCAGCTGCCGTACGTCACTGGCCGGTCGGTTCTGTTCTGGGCCGGGCCGGACGGGTTGGGAGGACCAGACCGCGCCGGGCCGGACCGGGCCGGCCGGAGGGTCAGGGCCGTCGCCCGCCCGAGGGACAATCATCTAATGCCGGCGCAGCGCGGCGTACCAGACTCGGACCGGGGCAGACGACACAAAACTAAGATACGCCAAGAGACGTACCGAGACAAACCAGCAGAGATAAACGGAGGGCACAGGAAGAAATATGAGAGAAGGTAAAAGACAAGCAAAAATTCATTTTTCATGAGGCAAAAACTCTCTGCAAATGCACTTTGCTCTTACACGCGATCAGCTCACCACCGCCTTGAGAAAACATCATTTTCCTTGTATTCATCGTCAATGAATATCCAATATGCATATCACCTTGCTGATGTTTACAGACGGCTTCACGCTGTGTGGGCACCCTCCATTTCCTCCCCCTCTCTCCCTGCTCTCGCTGCTCTCTCGGCGCTGATCCCGTCTCTGGCAGTGATCGCTCTGCCGCTGTTCGGCATGCACGCCGTTATTTGTATGGTGATCCAGGGATCACTGCTGGCGCCGACGCTCATTATTAACGACTCTGCCCCGGGAAACAGTCGGTCCCCTCCTCACCGCCCCTCCCCCAGCCGGGGCGCCCCTCCCCCTCCCCAGCCGGGGCAGCCGCCGCACCAAGCCGCCGCAGAAAGACGAAAGGCTGACGACAGTGAGAAGGACAGAAAAACGATAACGAGCTTGGTCAGTAAATCAAGCTCGGGCATGCGGAGCTGCGACAGATGTCTACACTTGTTAGCATCAAAACCACCCATCTAGCCGAGCGCCGCCAGCCGGCGACAGCGATCCGCTCAAAAAGCGCACGGCCGACCTCTCTGCCAAATCAGAGCGACATAACGGCGCCAGCCGAGCTGAAATCTAATCGCGGGCGCGCCCGAACAGCTCCCAGTGGCCGCCGAGCCGGCCGTCAGCCGAGCCCTTCACATCTGAGGAGGCCGCTCACCCGGCCGGGGACAGCTAGTGTAGAGTCGCCCGCCGCCGTTTCACAGAAAACCAGAGACTCGACTCAACAGTGCCGCTTTAACCGTTCAGTGCCGATGCAGGAATTTGTATGTATATCTGTTGACCGTCGGGTTCACAAAAGTCAAACGGCTGGGGTCGTCTGGATCGACCATCCGAACTCCGCAGCCACGGAGTGGTCCGCAGCCGCTCGGCCGGCGCTGAACGCCTGGGAGGGTAGACTGTGCCGCCCAACACCAACCGCCTGGCCTGTCCACTGCGCCGCAATACTCGGCGAGACAGCCGCTAAAACCGAAGACGCTCTCGTCGGGTTTGGCCGGCTATTCTAGCCGCCAGCCAGTAAGAAATAGCAAAGCCAGAGTGACAATTTGTTGGGATAAAGGTGTTCATAAAAGGATACGGCGGGGATATGGAAGACTTTCGAGTTGAAACAGTCATATTCAACGTTTGGGGACAACGGAATAATAAAGAAAAGGATGTGAGAAGGATCTTGATCCCAGCCGATCCCTTCTGTCGTTCTGGGGCGTACCTTTTTGCAGGACTTCGAGGCAGACGTCGCACACGCGAGCGGGGGAGTTGCCCTGGTAGAGCAGAGGCGCTTTACCCATCGAGCACGGGCCGCAGACCACCTGTGGGAACGGACCGGGTCAGCGGCGGACCAAACGACGGACGGGCGAGACGAGGTGGTCGGGAGACGGAAAACACGTTGAAGGGAGCATACAAATGTGCGCAGAGGCCGATATGTAAAAGTAGTGATAGTTATTACAAGGACTTTGAAGTCAAAAGCGTATGAAAAAGGTTACATGGGCTCGACCTAAATTTTGCTGAACAAATATCATTTAAATCGAACATCAAACATAAACAGCCTCCCCTTAGCAATACGTGACCGAAAAAATGCAACAACTTACAGGAAAAACATCACACGTCACAGATCCACGACCCCCTGTAGCCCGACCGTAGCTCGAGACGTGCTCCTGATCCTGAGACTGGCGGCACGTGAGCAGACGGGTCCCGTGAGCGGCCTTCCCACACCACACACGGTCACGGACGCCGACCTGGGGTTCGATGGGTGCGCTAAATGATGCAGTTCTCCGGTCGGGTCATGGGTACAGCTGTACCGCGCGGCCACCCACTCGGCCATTTCCATTGATGAGACAGGACGGCCACTTCGGTGCGCCTCTTTTGGCTAACTACTTCCTTTCTAATTTTGAACGTGCAAAACTGCGCACAGTGTACACCTCTTCTATTCTTGTCATGGAGCTCTGTAGACTGTAATACTTGCCATTAACCAAATGTGATCGCACATTTCTTGCATGATGCGTAACAGCCGCTGCCTGGGAAGTATCCCTATGCATAATGTGACAAATACCCCAGATCCATATGCAAGTGCCAGCTTGTACAGCGTACACTGCCAACACAATTTGTAATAATCACATGTCATAACTGCGCTTGTATTGCGCATTTACCTTGCGCAACTCGTACATGTGTCGTAAATATTCAAACTACCCATGCCTGCCGAACAACGAGGAATCGCCTTGGCTGGCGATATTGAACACATGAAAAAAGATTCTGTCCTTCGGCACGCAATCAGAGCCTTTAATCAGGGCAGAGTACTCGGATGGCAGGCGCAGTGGTACTTTGACGTATGAGACGTCGCCATGTCCGCCGCACGCTACCGTTGGCAGCCGGCAGAGGAATGTGCCGCGCGTAATACCGCTGAACATGGCGGCATGACACACATTCCAGCCGAAATTTGATGACATCTAGTCTACGTGCTACTGTTAAAGTATAGAATAAGGGTACTTGTAATTCATTTGGCAGTTTTAATTGCAGCCTGTCACAATCGGAGACCACAAATCCAGCATTCATGATGATTGGCAGCGCTATCACCCGGGGAACCAATGTTTCAAACCTCTCATCGTTCTGCGCACATACAAGGCCGGCAGTGGTGCCGAATGGTGACTATCCCACCTACCTTTACATAGGCGCGGCAGCCGGTTAGTGCCTGATTCAGCCCCACCTACCTTCCCACAGGCGCGGCAGTGGTGTCGCCGGTTGGTGACGGTGAACTCTATGGTGCACAGCTGGCACATGCTCGCTCGGTCATCGGGCACCCACACAGGAGCCTGATACGGGCAGACACACAGACACACAAACGGGAGGTTAGTGGGGTCAGACGGTCAAACGAACACTACAGGGTGGGGTGAGGGACACACAGGGGCGACCGGTTTCTCCGGCTGTAGGGTGAGTTTGGTAAAATACACTGTTGTATGCAGCGTAAGACATCAGACACTAGCATTACGAATAGTTGCGTCGGTCAGTTCAAGCGTCGCTGTCGTGTGGAGTCCTCGGGCCTACACATGAAGTAGTCAATGGATTCGTCCGCGAAATCAGTCAGCCGTCCTAAGTCGTGACAGTGTCTTGCACCCATTTTAACAATAATTTGAGTTGAAAAGGAATAAAAACAGTCCCAGTCCATCTCCAGGGAGAGCGGTGCTGAGAGGGCAATGTGGCGTCACGACAGTCACCATCAGCTCTGTCGCTGTGAGTACACTCTGTTGGGAACGTCTGGTCATCAACGGCACGTGAGACGCGTCCAAATCCATCCGAGAGTTGCTCCGAAACGATCCAAAATAACGGCGCTGCAAGGCCCGGCTCAAATGTTGCCCGCCGCCGGCCCGACGCCACAAGAAATATGACGACCCTGTACACAGGTCACGTAGCTATGGTGCTTGAGGAAGAGCCGAAATAAAACGCAGGACAGACGTCTGGCGTCGTCCAAGAACCAGCGAACGTGACGCCAAACACAGAGTGGACGGCAAGGAGCCAACGAAAGACAAAAGAAATACAACAGCAGAGGAACGGAGAACAGGAATTGTCGGAAATTGCAGCATCAAAAGAGGAACACTAAGGAGTGAATAACTCAGAATGAATCAGCGGAGACCAATCAAGAAGTTCAATCATTAGTCCAACTTTGCCAACCTCATTAAAGCGATGAGCAAAAGTCTCTATAAAAGAAAAATCCCCAGGAGTTTGCGCAAAATTACGGCCAGCTATAACATAACTTTAGTTATATCAGCGAATGCGTTAGAGCTTCATTATCTATTCAATTCATTCATTGTCTAAATATCATATCAACTTAGCCAGTTAGTCTTCAAAGATAGTTGGGAAGGGTTATCAGCTCAGTATCAACCAGATTCGCACATGCATGTTAACTAACCGCCTCTTCACAATTGAAAGCGGTCCATTCACATAATCCCTTTATTCCAATCAAATCCGCCCATATCAGCTGCACACTTCATTTGCATCTGAGAGCGGCCAAGACAAAGCAGGCGGGCCGGGCGGCTGTCACCAGTCGCCCGCCCCCGCCCCGCCCTGGCCGCCCCCGGCCTCGTCAGCCCGTCTCGATAGTCAGGCGCAGACTCAGCGGCGGTTCGCGCCGCGGTGACGTCGCTCGGCGATGCGTACAGACGGGTGACGTTTCCGTTTAGCGTCGCTCAGTGTGGGAGGGAGGAGGGTAGAGCAGAGGACAGAGCAGAGGAGGAGAGAGGGCGGCACACGTCTCCGGCGGCCATTTTGCCATCACCCACTGCACCTAATCCGAGCGGCGGCCCCGCTGCATATGGAACAGCACTTATATTCTGACGGCCGGAGACCGAAGCCCGGCCCGGTAGCACGCATACCAGACACACAGCGGGATGGTATACATACTCATATATACTGCACACATCCTCACATACCGCATGCATCTCAATCGTTAAGGTCGCAAAATGAGATGTCACGCTTCACAATAGCCCTCCATAAGCGAGTGATGCAAAAAAACTTGGAAAGCATACGAAAAGACGTAGGAAATATGCTGTCACTTTTTCCCATTTTGATCTTCAAAGAAGCAGCATGGCTTAGCTAGAGCTCACTAGAACATTTAAAAAAGGCAAAACATTCCAATAGTTTTAAAATCCTGACGACATTCGAATATTTATATTTGCTCCCATTCTAAAAAAAAAACACCGTCAGCACCTACACCGCCGCCGCTGGGCCGCGGCTGTGCGCCACCATCCATCGGTGTCGCCGCGGAGAGGCGGGCCGGCGGCGTCTGGCGGCGAAGGCGACGCCCCAGGTGCCAGGGCCGCGCACCACGGCACCGGCGGGCGGCGGCCGGCGGCGCTCGATACAGGGCGTGACGTCACTAGGCGCCCGCGGGCGGCCGAGGTCAGCCGAGCGGGGATGGACAGGGGAGAGGGAGAGGGAGAGGGAGAGGGAGAGGAGGGGAGGTCAGGGATGGATCCAGGGGGAGGGGAGAGGTCAGGGATTGACCGAACTGGGAGAGGAGCGGTCAGGGATGGATAGAGCCGAGAGCGGGGAGAGGGGAGGAGAGGTCAGGGATGAATTGTGCCGGGGAGAGCGGGGAGAGGGAGAAGAGGACAGCCCCAGGGATGGACCGAGCTGGGGAAGGGCAGAGGAGAGGACCGGGTATAGCCGAAGCAATATGGAGCTGGCCGCAGACGGGGCACCGACGCACCCCCATCAGTTGGTGAAGCAAATGTGATAGAATCAGTGCAAATGATTATTTTGATGTTATTTTAAAGAACTTCTGTGAAAACCAGTCCCTTTTTCAAGATCATTTCTATTGCAGAAGAAGGCATAAAACTTGAGTGTTAGCACGCCTAACATTTGTCGTTCCATTCCGAACGCCTTAGCTTCGATACCGGATCGGGAGAGGTAGACTGCGCCGCATGACAAGGGTGTGATGCGGCGCAGTCTACCGCCCTGCAGTGGCGTTCGAGATCTCCAGCAGAGGCGCTTCGCGCTCGCCCGCCACAAGGGCTGCACGCCACGCGATCAGTTAGGACCTGGGCAAACGTGGCAGATATACAGCACAGTCACAAAACAAATCTATTTAAGATATTAACCCCCATTATCCCCATAATGGCTCCCCAGCAGCGCTCTCTTCTTACACAGCAGCTCACGAACAATCTAAGCGGAACGGAGAGGTTTATTTCAAGGTTTCTTTCTTTTCGTCGGGCCGGCGGCGGCGGCGGAGCGCTGTTGGCTGCCCCCTGATCCCAGTAAGCGGCTAATAAGCGGCTAACGTCCCCGTCCAGTTCTCTCTGCTGCCATCAGCCGGGCCGGCCGGCTTTCAGAGCCGGGCAGAGGGCGAGCCAAATGAACGCCGGCCGCCGGCCGCGCCGTTCCAACTGCAGCCAGCCCGCCGCGCCGGGCTCCGACAGACGCTCATTAAGTGCCGTTACAGCGCGTATGGTTTGAATAATAGAGAGGAGAGAGCGGCAAACACGACGAAAAAGTGCCACGGGAATTCTTTTGCTGTGTTTGTTAACCTGAACGGAAACCAAAACAAGCCTGAAGACCTGTGCTCAGGTCGCAATAATCAACACTTGAGAGTCAAACGAGTCCAATAAAAAAGATGACAAGACAACCCAAGAAGACTCATAAGGCAGAATCCTTAGCGACAAACTTACTCAACAGCCACAAACTTGTGTCGCTGCAGTCCTGTAAGTAAGTCCAGCGAGCGTCACACAGTTCCTGCTAGAATAGAACCAACTGGGAGTTTCCGGCACGTCCCAGTGGGTAGCGGCCGCGTCACTTGACATGCATGAGCTCCACACCACTGGGCTCTGCGTGTGGTGTGCTGATACAGCGCGGAGGCCGGAGAGGTCCGCGAGATCGACGGCAGGACATTCGAGTGGCCAGAGCCGGTGTTAGCGACTGTACGATAGACAGCGGGAGCGAGACTGGAGCCGTGTCTGGCAGACCAAGACTAGGATCGACAATAGAGTCATGTTTCACAGACTGAGACAAGGACCACGACCAGAACTGACATCGCGTTTCAAGGTCCAAGATCAGGACCAAGGCAGGACTGTGTGTCAGAGACTGAATACGTCCAGGCCCGCGCTCTATCGCTGACGGCGGAACTGGCTGACGGTAGCGGCGGCGGACCGACGCCTGGGAACCGGTCAGCTGCCCAGACAGGGCGGTGTCCTATCACACCGACAGAGCAGCGTCCTATCGCATAACAACCAGCCGAGGGAGATATCAAACCCACGCCCCAGCCCACACCGATGTTACAATACAGCCGGCACAGCTGTGGGCTCTTCATACAAACGACACGCCTGGAATGAAACAGATGGAATGAAAACCCTCTACACACAGCAACCGACTGTATTACCATCTTAGCCTCCACCCCCAGCCCATCACTCAGCGAGGGCTGCCCTCCAGTGGGGCGGGTGGGTCAAACAGACCCAACAATCCGGTCAGAGCCGGTCCGACGTCCAGCGCCGTCAAACCCGTGCATGACCTCCTGTCCTCTGTCCGCAGCGCCGCCCTCTGCCTCCACAGCGCCGGGGCGCGGTCGCCGCCGCGCTAGGTCATGCATCAGGTCAATGATGCGGTGCCAGCCTCATGCAGACAATGGCGAAATGGGCGGCCGGGCGGCCGGGGCGGGGCTGGGCGGTGACGGGGAGTGCCGGGGGGGGGGGGGGGGAGCGCTGGGCTGTCGCTCCCCGCAGTAACACAGCAGCCCAATGGAGGGAGGACAGACGCCCCAGATGGAGTACTCAGCGGCAGATGCGGAACGACACCGAGATTAGATAATACGAGCACAGGATAAAAGAAAGAAAAAGTGACGCCATCAGAGCAAAGCGTCGACTGGGGTGAGATCAACATTGAACGTAATTGCTCGGAAGTTGAAGAGATAGGAAGTTGGACGGAAACTCTAAAGGTCAACAGTTTCCAGGGAACTATTTCAACGGAAGTATCTCAGAGACGACTGGGGTCTTGAAGGTCATCTCATCACTCATCATAATATAAAGTGGAGTGTCGACTGATATGACGCATCCTGTTTGATTCCAGGAACGAAATATCCGGAAGGATGATAAAAGCCCGTCTGTTTCATTAATACCTCCAGCAAACAGTAACACTTGGAACTTGTAATTTATAAACACCGCGCAAGCACCCAAACAGGTTATTCATGGCAGCGGACTGAATACAAGAATGCTTACATGGATTCTGGTGAAATTTATGTTCTCGGTGCTTCACTGAATGAGCCGGCCCGGGTCATTCATTTCAGAAGTGTGGCATGAAAGGCCTGTTTCATAGTGGTGGCTGGCAG